GGGCCCAGGTACTCGTCGTAGTAGTAGAGCAGCTCGAAGGAGTCGATCTGCGGGCGGCAGCGGCGAGGGCAGGGGGCAGAGGGGGAGGGGCTTCAGGGAGGTTGCGGTCGGGGGTGGGGGTGGGGCAGCGGCCACCCTCCCCGCACGCCCGCCTCCCCCAGCTGCCCTCAGTCCCTCCCTATGAAGAGGAGGGGGCCCAGGTGGGAGCCAACATGCCACTTCCTGGTGACAGGAGCACCTAGCTCGGCCCCGGTGACCTGGCTCCCGCAGTCTCTCTGACCTCCAGGACAGACTGTGCCCCAGGGCTTACATGCGGGGGTGGGAGGTGGGGGAGGGGGCAGGGGCGCGGGGGGGCGGCCTCACCAGCGTCTCTGGCTTGAGATTCTTGATGATGGGGTTCTCGCGGACCGACAGGTGGTTCTGGTAGCCGCTGAAGATAAGGCGGTGGTTCACGGAGTCGCCCACCAGGTGGATGCTGGCGCCCATGATGAAGGTGATGATGCTGACGTAGATCATGGAGCGCGGCAGGGTGCGGGGGGACCGCTCGATGAGCTGAGGTCAGAGGGAGGCGCGGCAGCATGACCCCCGCCTCTGTCCCTATACAGACACCCTCCGCTTCCCTCCCTCACACCTGGGCTGGGATGGACATCCTTAGCTAGAAAGTCACTCTCAAATTGGTGGGTCCCTTTAGTGGCCTAACCCAGCCTCCAGTCTCACAGGATCCCTGTGAACCCAGGAGAAGCTGGGGAACAGCACCCTCTTTTTGTGGTGAGGAAACAGGCTCATTACCCAAGGTCACACACAAGCCACGTGCTGAAGGTGACAGCCAGGCCTTCAACACAAGCGTCCGGGGTCCAGGCCCTGACCTCCCACACCCCCAGTTCTGCTCCTGCGTGGCTGGGCTGGCCTGCTGAGACCCTCCCATTTCTGAGCAACTGATCCACGCCAGCAAAATAACAGGAATGGGGGGGGGTGCTTCTGAAACTAAATTACTTAACTAAATATTCCTCTGAATTCTGAGGTTATACCTTTGGTACTTTTGAAGGTTTGAAATGTCTCTCTGAAAACAAAATGACCGGGATAGTAGAGGGAGATAGTTGATTTCAGAGCCTTTATTTGGCAAAATGCAAAGCCAGCAGCTCTGCCAAGAACTGCATTTGGGAGATGGATACAGTTAATCTCCCAGAGGCATCTAGGCGACTGCTCTGTGCTCCCAGGGCTATCTCAGAGTCAGGGATCTCCAGGCCAGAGGGGAGAGTTCACCCTCCTTTGCTGCCTTTTCTGCCCCCTGGCCCCCATGTGCCTTCCCAACTGGTCCCTGACTTCTCCCTGGGCAATCCAGCCACTCCTTCCATCTCAGCCTCCCCAAATGTGTTATGGTTTCTCAAGCCCAGCCTTGTCTTCAGGTTCTCCTGTCTGAAGGTCTCTCCCAGGTCACCCCCAGGCAGGGGCCCACATCAAACGCCCCTCTTTGGGGAGGCCTTCTCCATCCCCCTGCCTCCCCTGGGGCCCCGGGCTCTTGACACATCTTTGTATCACAGACTTCGTCCCCCAAAATTGGGCAGGGGAAAGCCTGATTCAGGGCACTTCCAGGGCTCAGCACCAGATCCCTGCTGGGGGGGGGGGCAATGAGGGCAGGAAGGGAGGGCAGGGAGCCCGGCACTGTACCTTGAGCAGGAGGAAGGGCGTGATGATGTTGTAGGCCATGTGGAAGTAGTCCCCCACGCTGGGCTTGTTGAGCGGAAACCATTCGAGAGGGAACACCAGCTGGGGAGCAAGGAGAGGAGTGATGCTTACCAGGCACGGCCCCAGGAGGCCCTCAGAAGCCCCCTGCACACACTCAGTTCTTCCTGTGATCTCCCGGGAACTTCTCAGCAGCCCTGGGGTGAGGGTCTTTTCAGACAGACAAACCAAGTTCCAGAGAAAGTAAACGGACTTGTCCCCAGGCACACAGCTGATGTGAATCCACGGCCTGACCCTGTGGGTCCCTCTCCTCCAGGTAGTAAGTCAATGTCACCAGGTACTGGCCTGGGAGTTGGAGGCTCTCTTGGGACTCAGCCGTGCCACCAACTTTCTGGGTGACCCTGGGCAAGTTCTTTGTCTCTCAGGCCTCAGTTTCCCCATCTGAAACACAAGAAATGTGGCCCAGGGGTCTACACAGACCCTTAGGGATCCGACACTGCAAGTCCTAGGATGACGACCAGATCTCCTGGCCACCCAGGTGTGGACAAACACTCTGTCCACTGAGCAGGTGGGACCATTTCAGGTCGAAACTACACATTATGAAACAAAGAAGAAAACAGGGAGACCTATAAAGTAGCTTCAGTTCTTCCTTTCCTAAGAGAGGCAGGCAGGCTGGGGCCGTTCCCGTCCGGAATTCCCTTGTCCTCCTACTGGTCTACCCCAGCGAGTCCTCAGCGTGAAAACCCTCACCTGAGCTCAAAACACTTCACAGCCCCTGCTCTGCCCAACTGTACCTCCATTATCTGTTGATTGAGAACACGTGTAATGACCATAAACATCAATCAAAAATTTAAATGTGTCTTTTAATTAAAAAAATGTGTTGGATAAAATGAACCTGCAGAAATAAAACTCTTAGGACACAGGAATCTCATTCTCTCTCTTTCTTACTTGGTATGTGTGTGCATAACTGTACCTTTATCTACAGCAAGATATTCATGCTCGCCGAAACACTCTGATAGCGAAATATCGGAAACAGGCCAACTCTTCAACCGAACAGGATTAGCTGAATACACTGTCTTTACTACAGAAGGTTAAGTAGCCATTAACAGAAATGACATGG